GCGATACGAAAGCGATTCGCATGCCGCCACGTGTGCCTATATTAAGATTGGCTAATAATGTGGCGGAAATCTTAATAAAAATGGCGGGAACTTCTTTGTACCGTGCATCACCTTAATGCAAAAGAAATGCACCATGCAAAGAAGGCTACAAAACTGGCGGGAAAAAGCTCCTGCACGCGGGTTCTTAATTGCAACAGAACGCTCCACCGTGCAAAAGAGCTGCAATTTAGCGGGAACACAATTTAGCGATGCCGAAGCGCACACAAACAAAAAAACCACAACTTTGGGTTGTGACAACTAAGGCATGCTTTTCTTTCAGAAAGTGCAAGTCTTATTTGAGCTTGTAAAGGCAAGGCCCTCAAAAAATGTCTCTCTTTAGAGATCATACCATCAGTGATTACTGAACACATCAACCTGTACCATTTCCTGCAATTTATTTCTGGGAAGGATGCTTTTTTTCCCCAGTAAACAAGAACTACAAAGGGCTTACCATTGCATGTAATATGTGTTTCCAGCTTAAAGCTAAGACATTTTATTATGAAACACATGCATTTGAAAAGATCCACTTATAACTGATGTGAGCCATTCCTAACCAGCTTGGTTGAAAGTACATTAAAGTTCTGTGTTACTTACTAAAGCAAATGTGCAGATAGATGAGTCACACACCATGACTTTAGAACACACTGTTCATATCTTAAAAAGGAATTGTTTGGGGCCATAGTCGTGTATGTTTTTGCCTAAAGAAAATGTATAACCATTTTCTTTAGAACAGACATTTTCAGAGTAACCTAGCAGTATTGTGTCATACCATCAATTAAAACAATGGCTGAATGCAACACTTGTTAATGCATTTGCAGTGCTTCTAGGGAAACATTTGAGATCTAAATTTTATTTCCCCAAGAAAGCAAAGGCCTGGGGTAGGAACTTTATCTTGGATGCTCTGAGACACGCTATCAGTCCTCAGCATTAAATAATACCATCACAGTATCCAATGTTTATTTAAACAAAAAAATCTCAGGCACTGGCTAACATCTAAATGTCAAAACTCCAACACAGGGAAGGTAATGCAGGAACAGGAAGAAATTAAAAAGCAAAACGTTTTTACCATCTGTTTCTCTGGCTTGCTCAAGAAGAACAGTATACCAATTGCCCTACCTTGAACTCCCTTATGTAATCCAAGAATTGGCCTGAAGGCCCAGTTCTTTGCAATACTGTGCAGTACCCTCTAGTGGCATGTATAGGAAAAGAAAACACTATGCCTCCATGAGCAGAACAAAGAATCATTCCACTGGTTAACCCCTCTCTGCCTTGAAAGAAACTAGAGACAGCATCACCTAAAAAGCATGTAAAAAGAATACTATTCATCTTTGCTAGTAATGGTCCTCCAACCAATTAAAATAGATAAAACACTGGTGGCACAGTAAGCATTGCAACTAAGATCCATATTTAATTTAGTCCCTGTTTTTATTTAAAACATTTTCTTATGCAAAATATAGTCATAATTCCTCAAAATACCAGTACAAGAAAGTGTATTTTAAGACTGTTCTAGAAAGCCCTTCCCTGGAGTGGTTCATTTGTGCGATTTTCCTGGGTTTCTTTCTACAGCTTATACAATTTGGTTAGCTGGACATTAGGCCTGTGCAAAGTGGCAAGTATTTGATTTGGATTTGGCTGATTTGGAGGGACAGTGATTCGAGTTGCTGTCCCGATTCAATTCGGCCGAATTGGATTTGAAGATTTGGCGCCAATTCAAAGGTTCGGCCATAGGCTAAACAGGCAGCAGTCCTCACCATGCTGAACACAGCTGCCTCCAGCTGGTAAGTCTGTTGTGGTGGGCGGAGGGGGAAGGGAAGGAGCATGGGGGGGGAGCAGATCAACACCCCAACAGTGAGGGAGGGATTGGGGCTGGAACAAGCAGCCCAGCCAGGGCAGGGGAGTGCAGGACTCAAGAAGGGGGGCTCCTGCCACTATGTGCTGCTGTGCATCACTGGTCTGGAAGCTGTTCTTCTGGTGGCTCCTCCAGCAGCTCTCACCACCGGTCTGGGAGGGCATGGGAGTGGGTGTGCGCTCCCTGATCTGCATGGGGCAGGCTGGGCTGGCCTGTGCTCCGGATGGGCGGTAGAAGGCACTGGGAGTGTGGGCTAGGTCTTTTGCCTTACTGCTTGCTTTCACCACCCTGCACTGGATAGTAAATTCCAGCAGGCGATGATCACTGTCGCCCAGGTGGTCAAGTACCCACATACCCCTCACCAGGTTGTCACTTGTGGCAAGGACCAAGTCCAGCAAGGCATTTCGCTTGGTGGACTATGCACCTCCTGGTTTAGGTGGAGGTCCTGTAACCCGGCTAGGAACCTATGGGAGCGGTCAGACCTGGCTGACTGCTCCTCCCAGCAGGTGTCTGGGTAGTTTAGGTCACCCATGATGACCACGTCCCTCGACTTTACAGCCTCCATGAGCTGACCTGAGAATTCCAGGTGCACCTCATTCCCCTGGTGAGGCGGTCTGTAGTAGACGCCCACTATCAAGTCCCTTTCCCCATGACCCCCTTGCATTCTTACCCAGAGTGCCTCGGTTTGCCCCTCCTCTGACCCCATCCTAATCATCGAGCATGTGTACTGCTCTTTGATGTAGAGTGCTACACCCCTCCCCTCTTTTTTCCCTGCTCTGTCTCGCCTGTACAGCCTGTAACCCTCGATGTCCACTGCCTAGTTGTGGGTAGAATCCCACCAGGTTTCCATGAGCCCCACTAGGTCTGGGTTTTTGCTAGCTAGCAGGAGGATGAGTTCCTCCTGCTTATTCCCCATGCTTCAAGCATTTGTGTAGAGGCATTTGAGGCCTCCTGTAGATGCACATGCCGCCCCTATTCCTAAGCCTGCCTTGGCCCCTGTCACTTACCTGGGTATTACCTGCACGCATCCCCTGGCTTGACGGTGAAGTGTCCTCATGTTCCTGCGACTTTAAAGATCTTACGTTGCACAAACTGCTAGTCAGAAAGGGACGGTTATGCAATATTTATTCCCAGCCTTTATGGTCCAGCATTACTTTCCTGGCACTCATTTCTTGGACCTTGGACCATTGTGACTTTCAATCCCTTCAGATATCCTTGTTGGCTTTTTTCTTATACCACTGCAAAACAATTTCTGCTCCCGTTTTTACTTTCCATTACCTAGTGTCTTCTTTAAGTGTTGGGTCATATTTTTTACTAACGTAAGCTCATTTACATTAAAAAAGACCTAGGTAATGGATTAATTTGGTCCACCAAGTTTTAGATTCCCACATTTTGATCAAAGAATAGAGACATTAACCAGAGGAAAAATAAAAACTTCCCACAAGAATTTATTATTTCACTTGTGAACAAATGGTGGTTGTGAAAGTCCAACTGAATTAAAAGTTCATCATAATCAGTACAGAGATTTTCTAAAAGTCTTCCAACTTGTTGATAAAACCTGAAGTACATACATTCAGAAGTGGGTGTCAGATCACAGTTTCTAAACCTATTATGAGGATACCTGCATGCCCAGAGGGAAAGAGGATTCAGGTTTCTTGCTAATGCTGCTGCTGCAACATTTACTCTTGCTGCATGACCTTACACAGCAGACTGACAACTGGCATAGGAAAGAGACACTAGGTTTCATCTTGTGTTAAGCTGGCCATTAGATTTAAGCTGATAGGATCATACAAAGGAACCATGCTGAAAATGTGAAGAGGAGTACCAAGATGAGTCTACTATGTCTTTTTCTGTTCGTTCTGCATCTTGAGAAGAGTCTCTCTCAAAAGGGCAAAACCTTGGTATTTTAATTCTTTGACTGCTTTCACACTACTGTTTGGGGGCAAAATAGAGAAGGACTGACTGCAGAAGGTATTTTGTTTAGAACTTTTTTTTAAGTTTTCAAATGTTTAACACTGACTGAATGTGTGTCATATGAAAGATATAAAAAAGTTTCTACACATTTCCCCTAAATTTTATTTTTCTTGCCTCCCTGCAAAAATGTTCAAGTTCCTTAATCTTCACTTGAATTGTCAAATTCCTCCCAGTCAGACACACTCATAACTTCAGAAGCAAAGTCTGGATGATGTTGTAGCCTGTCTGCATACCATTCTGGGGTCGACTTTTCTGCATCCATTAGAATAGCTCTAGGCAGAGTGAGGACGCAGGCCGCCATTCCAGAAATATCCTCCTCCAGCTGAGGACCTTCTTCCCAGCAGTCTCTCTCTGCATCATAAATATGGACATAGTCCATTCGAATCCCTCGATTGTGGGACCTGCCCCCCAAGACATAGATTCTGTTGTCTAAGATGGCAATTCCTGGTTCTCCATGTCCTGCAGGGAGACGGCGTACGTTTGCCCACTGATCAGTGCAGGGACTGTAGCAGGCTACCTGTTGGAAAACAGATTCAGACACAAAAGAATTTATTCTCCATTTAGTTATCTTTTAATATGTATAATGTTCTACATATTAACAGACATCTTGCCATATCATGGGGTGCCTTTGCTACATCATAGCCATGGCATCTTCTCTCTTTTGAGATGCATTCAGTACTAGAACAGCAGTGTAGCAGGTTAAAACAGATGAAATGCAAAGAAGAAAAGCCCACCTAGTGCTTGCCCAATGCCGTCACAGTGGTTACTGCTGCAAGTCACTTAAAAACAAGTTACCCAGAAGCTGAGGAGCTTGGAAGGAATGTATGACACACACACACACGAAAAAATGGGCCATAACCTACAGAAGAAATGGTGTTACAGTGAAACCAACTAGACAAAAGTCATAAGTGGCTTCTCTGCAGCATGGGAGAGGTGTTTCCAATCATGTATAAATACAAGGAATTGGCTAATATGATTTTTTAACAACTTTTTTGTTACCAGACACTTTCAGTTGACTAGATTTAGTTCTGTCCTCATCATAAAGTGCATTCCATAAACACTGCATAAAAGATAATGTTTGCTTCTTCCCTGTTACCCTTCCACAATGCCATAGCCTGAAACACGTCAAAAGAATTCTCATGTCACAACAGCCTTCTTTTATAGTCAGTTTTTAAATTTAATTTATAGAGAATACTGCATTCTATCCCTTATCCAAGCTTAATTACAAATATATATGTATTCCTACTCTTTCTGTTTTCAAAGAACACATTAGGAATATGAACTAAGTGTAACTGATCCAGCATTATCTTTCCAAATCTACAGATAAGCTAAAGAAGCAAGTCCTCACTGATTGTAGCAGGAACATCCAACAAACCTGATTCTGCCAATTCCATACCTCATTGGGTGCTAAAACCCAATCAGCTGTTAGTCAACTGTAAACACCTCCAGCTTATCCCCCAACAGTTCCTATCCTGCTGTTATACATTGCTTATACAAAAGTTCTTGACAAGTCAAAAATTTCTGAAAGAGTCAAGACAGTGGAGAAAGAATTAAATTTATGGGCCATCTTTGGGTATTTTACATACTCAGCCAAGTACTACCCACCTAGCACTGATTAAAACAAGCAAACAAAACCTGATATGAAGCCCAAGAACTAGTGTTTTAAGGTTTTAAGGGGTCAGAGAGAATGCACATAAGGGAACAAACAGTAAGTAAAGCCCTGCAAATTCAATGGTTACGTGGAGTGGAATTAGAAGTCACTGCAAGCCAGACAGCTGCACAGCAGTGAGATAAACAGACTGTGGCAAAATGCAAAAGTTGTGCATGTGAGCAGCAAAGGGACCAGCACAATAATTTACCTCGTGAACATCTCTCCTATAGCCAGAATCATTGTTGCTGCCTCCAATTACATACAACTTTCCCAGAAGTGCAGCCATCCCATGCCAGGCCCGTCTTGCTGGACCATCTGCTAAGGTGTCCCAGCGGTCAGCCTCTGGATCATAACGATGCAGCTCCTTCAAGTAATCCTCTGCTCTTCTTCCACAGGTAATGTACATTTTCCCATCCAATGTTGCTCCAGCATGTGCATACACCTGAATCATTCCAAGGAAAAGCAAAGAGGGCGAGGGCAAGTTTTCTCTATTTTCTCCCACTTCAAGTATGGAATATACCTCCCCCTTTCAATACAAGACATCAGAGCTGTTATGTCTTTCAGATTACTCAGGCACTAACATTTAGAAGGATTTCTGTGTAGGTAATGATTCCATAAATGTGAGATTCAGTTCTTTAACCGATATAGAGTAAAATATCTGACTCCTCCAGAGCTGCAGTGGCTTCAGGCATCTTATCATTCCTTAACTAGAAGCTCTTCCATACCACCACTTTCCTACTTTGCTTATCCCAAAGCCCTTGTGTGGAAGTTAAAACTTTTATAGAAGCTTTTGCTTCATTACTGAGAAGGCAGGCAGAATAGCCTAGCAGTCATAAATTCTGAGTCACAAGTGATTCGTCCTTTCTGTGACACCAGCATCCCTGGCTGAATTATAATTTCCTGAGGGCACAGGAACAAACCATCCCAATGTGCAGGAAGAATAGCAAATATGGCAGGTTACCAGCTTGGCTTAGCAGAGAACTCTTTGGTGAGCTCAAACACAAAAAAAAAGCTTGCAAGAAGTGGAAACTCGGACAGATGACTAAGGAGGAGTATAAGAATATTGCTCAGGGATGAAATCAGGAAAGCCAAAGCCAACTGAATTTGCAGCTAGCAAGGGACATGAAAGGTAACAAGAAGGGTTTTTACAAGTATGTCAGCAACAAGAGGAAGGTCAGGGAAAGTGTGGGTCCCTTACTGAATGGGGGAGGCACCTTAGTAACAGATGATGAAGAAAAGGCTGAAGTACTCAATGCCTTTTTTAACCTTGGTCTTCACAGGCAAGGTCAGGTCCCAAACTGCTGCACCTGGCAGCAGAGTTTGGGGAGAAGGTGAGCAGCCCTCAGTAGTGAAAGAACAGGTTAGGGACTATTAAAAAAAGCTGAACATGTACAGGTCCATGGGGCCAGATGCAATGCATCCAAAAGTGCTGAGGGAGTTGGCTGGTGTGATTGCAGAGTCACTGGCCATTATTTTTGAGAACTCGTGGTGAACAGGGGAGGTCCCGGATGATTAGAAAAGGACAATTATAGTGCTCATCTTTAAGAAAGGGAAGGAGGAGGATCCAGGAAACTACAGACCAGTCAGCCTCATGTCAATCCCAAGAAAAATCAGAGAGCCAGGTCCTCAAGGAATCCATTTCTAAGCACTTGGAGAAGAAAAAAGTGATTAGATACAGTCAGCATGGATTCACCAAGGAAAAGTCATGCCTGACCAACCTGATTGCCTTCTATGATAAGATGACTGGATCTGGATGTGGGGAGAGCAGTGGGTATGATATACCTTGAGATAGCAGTTACAGTTACATGTTACAGTCTCCCACAGCATTCTTGCAAGCAAGTTAAGGAAGTATGGGTTGGATGAATGAACTATAAGGTGGACAGAAGGCTTGCTGGATCATCAGGTTCAATGGGTAGTGATCACTGGCTTGAGGTCTAGTTGGCAGCTGATATCAAATGGAGTGCCCCAGGGGTCAATCTTGAGGCCGGTTTTGTTCAGTTTCTTCATTAACAATCTGGAAGATGGGATGGATTGCATCCTAAACAAATCTGTGGATGACACCAAGCTGGGGGGGAGGAGGGGGGGAGGGGAGTAGTAGATATGCTGGAGGGTAGGGCTAGGATTTAGAGCGACCTAGACAAATTGGAGGATTGGGCCGTAAGAAATCTCATGAGGTTCAACAAGGATAAATGCAAAGTCCTGAACTTAGGATAGAACAATCCCATATACTGCTACAGGCTGGGGACCAACTGGCAAAGCAGCTCTGCAGAAAAGGACCAAGGGGTTACTGTGGACAATAAGCTGAATATGAGTCAACAGTGTGCTCTTGTTGCCAAGAAGGCTAAAAGCATACTGGGCTATATTAGTAGAAGCACTGCAAGCAGATCAAGGGAAGTGATTTTTCCCCTCTATTCTGCACTGGTGAGGCCACATCTGGAGTACTGTGTTGTTTTGGGCCTCCCCCTACAGAAAGGATGTGGACAAGTTGGAGAGAGTCCAGTGGAGGGCAATGAAAATGGTGAGGGGGGTTGGAAGACATGGCTTATGAGGACAGTGTGAAGGAATTGGGCTTATTTCATTGCAGAAGAGAAGACTGAGGGGGGATTTAATAGCAGTCTTTAACTACGTGAAGGGTAGTTCCAAAGAGGATGGAGCTAGACTGTTCTCAGTGGTGGCAAATGACAGAACAAGGGGCAATGGTCTCAAGTTGCACAAGGGAAGTTTAGGTTGGATATTAAGACAAACTCTCTCACTAGGAGCGTAGTGAAGCACTGGAACAGGTTACCTAGAGAAGTGGTGGAATCTCTATCCTTGGCGGGTTTTAAGGCCTGGCTTGACAAAGCCCTGGTTGGAATTATCTAGTTAGGGATGGTCCTGCTTTGAGCAGCAGGTTGGACTAGACGACCTCCTGAGGTCCCTTCCGACCTTAATTTCCTATGATTCTATGGTCCACTGTAGTTTCCTCTACATCATGCGAATCATATGGCTGGGTATACATCAGGGAAGATGGCCAGCAAGAAACTTGTACTACTAATACCCATGCTGTATTCATTCTGGGAATAAAGTGAAGCTATAAAGCAGGCACCTTTCACCAGCAAGAACTCTAATTTTAAGAAATTTTTAAAAATCAATTGTATGCAGCTTTTTCATTGGAGGGACAGGAAAACTGACATCTGAGTTTCAAAATACAGGCATTGTTCCTGTTTCTCATATGATTTGGGATTTTTTCCTCTCTGGTCATATTAAGATTTGCCCCCTTGACCTAAAAAGCACCAATAGCTGATTAAAACTGATGGAAGTTGCAAGGGTTCAGTATATTTCAGGATCAAACTCGTTCTTACTTAGGAACTGTTTTCATTGGATAGTCTATTCAAATAGAGTCCACTAGCAAAAAAGTCTTATTGTAACACCACAGAATAATCCCTTCATATAGTGAGTGACAGGAGAAGAAATGGAAGCATAAAACCACCATATACAAACTGCTAACTTTTAATGGAGCTGCCTTGAAGGATCATCTCTCTCAACCATACCTCACAAAAACTTATACTGGCCTATTTCTAGACTCAGATTTCTCTCTCTCATATAACCAGGAAGTTTACCTAGATCACATAGTAGGGGAGAGGTAGTTTTTCAGTAGGATCAGTTTAGAGACAACATAAGGATGACACAAATGTAGATGCAATGGTATTTTAAAACCTCCTCTTGATATTTGTCCCTCTATTTTTGGCTCACTGTCCTCCACCTGAATATAACAAAATTAAGAGTCATGCCTGAGATAAGCCACAAAAAGTATGTAGGAGAGATCAAAACAAGTATCAGGGAAGTTAATCAGTGACCTGGAAGATGGCATAGGCTGCACCCTCAGCAAGTTTGCAGATGACACCAAGTTGGGGGGAGTAGTAGATATGCTGGAGGGTAGGGCTAGAATTCAGAATGACTTAGATAAATTGGAGGATTGAGCTAGAAGGAATCTCATGAGGTTCAACAAGGACAAGTGCAAAGTCCTGCACTTAGGACAGAACAATCCCATGTACCAGTACAGACTGGGGGTGATGGGCTGGGCAACAGCTTTGCAGAAAAGGACCTGGGGGTTACAGTAGACAATAAGCTGAATATGAGCCAGCAGTGTGCCTTGTTGCCAAGAAGGCTAATGGCATTCTGGGCTGCACTGGTAGGTGTGTTGCCAGTAGGTCAAGGGAAGTGATTATTTCCTTTTATTCAGCACTGGTGAGGCCACATCTGGAATACTGTGTTCAGTTTTGGACCCCCACTACAAAAAGGATGTGGACAAATTGGAGAGACTCCAGCAGAGGGCAACTAAAATGGTGAGGGGGCTGGGGGACAAGAGGAAAGAACGAGAGAACTGGGTTTATTTAATCTAGAAAACAGAAGACTGAGGGGAGATTTAATAGCAGCCTTCAACTACCTGAAGGGGGATTTGAAAGAGGATGGTGCTAGACTGATCTCAGTGGTAGCAGGTGACAGAACAAGGGGCAACAGTCTCAATTTGCAGCAAAAAAAGTTTAGGTTGGATATTAATTTTCTCACTAGAGGGTAGCTAAACATTGGAGCAGATTACCCAGAGAGGTGATGGAAGCTCCATCCTTGGAGGTTTTCAAAACCCAGCTAGACAAATCTTTGGCTGGGATGATCTAGTTGGGAATGGTCCTGCTTTGAGCAGGGGGTTGGACTAGATGACCTCCTGAGGTCCCTTCCAGCCCTAACTTTCTATGATTTTATTACTCTAATCAGGACTTGCTGGCAGTGCATTTCTTACCTTCTTTCTCAGAGGTGCCACATATTCCCAGGTGTTGGTTTTAGGATCGTACCTCTCCACCTCTCTCAGATCATCATGATAGTCCCGTCCTGCGACAGCATATATGTATTCATCCACAACACAGACACAGAGGTCAGCATGCTCTTGCTGCAGAGACTGGATCTGGAACCATTTGTTGTGTCGTGGGTCATATCTTGCAAAGGAATATGATCAAACTATGTTACCAACACACAGCCAACAAAGAGCAGTGAGACACTGAGACAGTGTCATTGCTGGAACATGGGTCAGCTTCAGGCAGATCAGGACAACAAAACTGTCTTTGCTCAAATTCATTTCTTTTGTAAGGTGCTGTTCCCATTACAATGACACTTAGCCATGTCAAAGTGTAACTACTGGTTAAGTTTTATTTTATTTTGCAAAGAGATATTTTAGCAAAAATAAACCAGACTATGAAAGCTTAGTCCTTCCAGTATCTTTGTACCACTGCCACTAAACAAACTGACAATCCTGTTAGTTGGCAGATATGCCACGAGGTAAAATTAGCAAACACTAGCACAAGGACTAAATGAGGGATCTCAAAAAGGGAGGAAAAGTAAGGATGTTTAATGCTTCTTTGGTTTGTTCAGAGTAAGAGGGGCCTTAAAATAGCCATTCCAGTAAAACTGTGAAAACTTAATTACAAGAGAAGTATGAATGAAACCATTGGGACTGAAAGTCAGGTTGTGTATGAAAGTAAGAACAACTGAACTAAAATCTCAAGAAATCACTATAATATGGAGAGAAAGGTTTGTAATTCAGCTGTTTATCATGTAATAAGCTTAAACATATAAAGTTAAAAATGATCTTTGCTCTATCCCTCTGGAAATTAAAAAAAATAGAAATTGGTGCTGGAGAACTATACATATGAAATCACAATAAGCAACCAACACTGCAACTTGGCTTAAAATGGTTTTGATAGCTGTGTTCCTTAATTCACTTCCTGTTGCTATCACATTTATGAATACTGCTATTTCGAGTTCACTGATGCAAACTACAAGTCTGGCATTTAGCCTCTAAGAAAAGAAGAAGAGCCGTCTCTTCTCTAGCAGTGCTTAAAAAGCTTCTACTCCTCCAATATTCAGGTAAACAGTAGGAAACCCCATACTTGCTTATAATACCATTTTTTAATTCAGCGTAAGTATAATCAGTAAGTATAATCCTTATTTGACAGATGAGACAGAAGCTAAGAAAGTTGACCAAACTGCAAAAGGTTATTAGTGTAAGAACCAAGATTAGCATATAAGAAGCCCTATCTGCCAGTTTTGTGCTCAGAACTCAATATTTTGCTGCAACTCAACTAAGCTTTTGTATAGTGTTGCAATATTTGCTTTTCTTCTTTTGACTGATAAGCAAACAATATGTGCTCAAACAGAAGCTTCCTCTTTTACTATCAGGTTGGTCTTTTTTCATCCTTGCCATTTCTTTTGGTAAGGTCCCACACAGTTCCCAACATTTCTGGCCAACTATAAAAAGTACTGCAGTGGAGATTTCTTGACCTGAGAGTTGTAACTGGCTGGTAATAGAGAATGGTGTCAGAAATCATCTCTTACCTCCAGCACCTGGACTCTGCTCGAAAACCTCGTACATTATTATCTCCTCCAATTAAATATACAAAGTTGTTGAGAACAGCAATCCCTTGGTTGGACATCCTGGGGGCTAATGCAGCAGAAAAGTGCTTCCACTCTCCCAACAAAGGGTTCAGGTACTTGGCCTGGTCACTAAGGACTGTTGAGGGAGTAGAATGCATCCCTCCAAAGCCCACTACACAGTGGAACTCGGACCGCAGCTGCGTGTGTGAGCTCTGAAGCACGGGTTGAAGACATTCATTTTTATGGTACATTAGTGCATTGGCTACTGTATCCTTTAATGGACATGCGCTTAACTTGTCGTGGAGCCTCTGCAGGATCTGGAGCTCCATCAGGGGGAAGCGGACTGTCTCCAATAGCTTTGGAGGCTCCATTAGTGAGACCTGATCTGTCTCCAACTGCTCTGGAGTGTAATGATAAAGAAGTGCCCCTTCATAAACCTCATTCTCACAGCTGACCTCCAAACAGTTGCTGCTGAGAAGGGTGTAGACCTTTTCCAGGGATAGCTGTCGGTATGTTTCTGTCTTTGAGAAGGTCACAAAGTTCTTCAGAATGTAGGAGTCCAGCTGTTCACTCAAATGTCTCAAGTCAAATAGATCAGCTAATTTGTACATATCCAGGATGTTCTCCTCATCTACCCATGGCATGAGGAAATCACAACTGAACTTAACAACTTCTGGAATCTGTAAGAGACAGAGCACATAATTTTAACTCTGGACAATCCACTTCTTGAATTGCACTAGAGAGACTAGGTTCCTAGAGGCATGAAAGACAGCTCATGAGGTTGTATGGAATGGTAGGAAAACCAATCACTGTGAAGGCCGACAATATGACTCTGCCTATTACACTACTGGCCCAAACTGAAAGCCATGGTACCGCAATCACCTTTCTCCAAAGAAGAACATGATCCTACGTGGGTCTGTAGATGAGTAGACAACAGTTTTTCTGTTTCCAGACAGACCAAACATATTGCATTAAAGGCAGAGAGACAAATGCACAACAGGATAGTAAGTTGGATATTATCATTCCAATGCAGAAGAAGCCTTTTGAAAGAAAAATTAATACTTAAATGTAGTTTACGGAGTACAGTATAAAATTGCTCCTTTAAATTAAAGACATCCTGAAAGCAGAAAAGTTCTCTTTACTAGAGATGACTGTCTCCACTGAGAAGCATCTCGTGAATCCACTAGGGTTGACAGAGTAAACCACCCAGTGAGCATGTGATCTGTGCAGCATTTAGAAGATAGCAACATGAGAAACAGAAGCAAAATACATCTTGATGGCAAACCAAGAGCTCTGCAAGCTTTGTAGACACTGGGGTCCTTGTTCCACCCAGTTAATGGGCCAGGGTTGAGGGTGTTGCAGGGCACTAAGATGTGCCTGCTCCTTTAAGGGCAGAAGCAGCCTAGCCACGGAGCCCTGCAGGCTAGGCAGAGCTCCACAGCTGCAGGTTGCCTGAGCAACAGGCTAACAAGGTAAATTAGCCAATACCTGCAGGTGGTCAGCTGAACTGAAGAAGGCAGGGCTCTGGGAACACATAAGCTCAGGGCTGGGGCTAACAGGATCCACTCTCTCTGGAGACTGCCAGGGGAAGGACACCCTGCTCAGGAGAGCTGCCCAGAGGTGTCTGGTTGCCTGCTTTGCTGCCTACAAGAACAATAAGGCTCCAGGAGCCCACAAGGTACCCAGGGCTAGAAGACATGCTGTTCTAGGGTTGGAAGTTTGCCTTCTTAAAGGGGTAGAGCACAGTCTTCAACGTTATTGGTCTGTTACAGCCCAGGGGCTTATATTTGTGTTGTTTTTTGTACCAGAGGTTTGGGATAGGGCTGTAAGGGTGGGGGTACAGAGGCCCCATTAGTGTCCAGGAGGGGCACACAATTCCTTTGAGCCCTGATAGGGGCAGGGGCAGGGCATGAACTGTGAGAGAGCCTGCAGCGGGCAGAGAGTGCAATGCACTGAGATAGACAGGGGCTGGAGGGCTTGATGCCAGAAGGGCGCAGTCAGACAGGGGCCAAGACTCCCACAGACAGGGGGCCGGGGGCCCGGTGACTGGGAGAAACCAACTGGAGCTAGTGCTTCAAAGCCAGGTCCGACATAGTGGGCCTAGGCTAGAAGGCCTAGCTAAATTAAAGGGGTGGTGACCAAGGAGGCGAAGACCCCAACAGAGGGAACAACATTTTTGTAACATCCATGAGGCATGGGGTGTGGTGTAGGGGTGGCTCAAGAGCCATGCAATTAGCCCATAAGGCTCAAGATGCCCAGTGCGGCACAGTACTGCAGAGAAGTCCAGTGAAGGGCTCAAGGACCAGTGAGGTTCATTGGACTGGGACCACACGAAAGCCTATGGGGAGCCTCCCGATTTATTTCACCAACAAGACATGGCAGGTGAGACAAGAGGGTGCCCTCGGGGTGGAGCTGGCACAGTTGCAAAGCTGCCAGGGACATCACAGCCACCTCCGGGAACCCCAAACCATGACAAGGGGGAAAGGGATGTGTGCCTGTGGAATCAGCCCACATTCTGTAGATGAGATCCTGAAAATTTGGAGCACCCTAACAGCATCAGAACAGAACATGATATCATTTAACACAAACCGTAATGTATTCTAACAGTGTGCCTGATGAGATATCATTAAGCAGGAAAGAGATTACTGACCATATTGGGGGAAGTCAACCATTATAAAAGTCTGCCTTTTGAATAAATGGTAAAGGACTATAAATAATAAAATTACTTATAAGAATGAGAGACAATCCAGATCTAGTTTATACACATCTGAAACTGTATGTCCCTATTCCTTATTTGCCCCTCTTCCCTTTTCCTCTTGTTTCTTCTTCATCGCATCTCCTAAATCCTCACCTGAAGTTGGCAGGCTGCAGATAATATTTCTTGCACGTTGCTCAGGCTAAGTTCCAGCTCAGATGTGTATATAAAATTCAGGATTTTACACATTGCATTGTACGAGACTCCATGAATACGAACCTCTCCCTGTTCCATCTCTCTGAGGCCTCCAGCAAACATTCCTCTGAAAAAAGAAAAAGTACATGCTGCACTACAGTGTTATCAAGGCCATGTAACTATTCAACCTCTCATTATTCTGGGGACATCCAAAACATTCAGATGGATGGATAACAGCCAGACAGCTTTGTAGAGTCTATACTCCTGTTCCCAAATCCAGTAGGCCAAGAAAGATATGCTCAGCTGTCTAGCTTTGGGACCAGAAGCCTCAAATGACTAAGAGGCCAACATACTCTTGTGTCTGACAATGTGATTATCATCATTAAAGGTCTTTTAGAGCTTGTTGTGTAAACCCTCATTTTTAAAGAAGTTTAAACAAAAAAGAAAAAAAAATCATAGGAGTTGCTAGCCTATTGCCAGTGCTCTACTGCTACAAAGAACACAATGTTAAGATGCATATCATATGCCCCTCTCTTCCTGAAAGTGTTGGAACCACTGAGAGAGCACACACAGTTCAGAAGTGAGCAAAAGCATTTAAATCCTAGCCCCTAAAAAGGATGGCTTCATGTCATTCAGCAGCAACCCCAAACAATGCTGATGGATTCCTCAAGAAGATCCAAACTCTCTTGTCTAAGAGAATTATGTCTGTTATATCAAGCTTGAAGTGTTGAAAAAATAGGGGGTGATAAAAGCAGAGAGAATACCCAAGTGCATCATCAGGAATGCAAAGGAATTACTTTAGCCTAGATGTGCTGAGAACTGAAATCTGAGGGTATATTTTTTGGATCAGACTAGCCTTTTTCCAGATAAAATTAGTTAAAAGAAATTCCTTCCTAACTTTTGGGTGCCATTCGCTAGAACTACGATAATTTGTTTTGGGAAATTAAATTTTGTAGGACATTAAATCGATGATGCAAATTGTGACTGTTCAATAATTAGCGGACTAAGGGCTGATCCAGCTCTCAAAGTCAACAGAAAGACCCCACTGAATTCAGCCACAGTTGGATTTGCCCCCAGGATACCTCAAGTTATTACAATCTAATAATTACAGCATGAAGAAAACTATGTTTCCCACAATACATTTTATAACTTGCCATGTATTATGAAACAAATACTATAATAGGCCAAATCTCACTGATGCTAATAAAACTTTAGCAGCCTCACTGGATGCACTGTGTAGTATTTCTGACATACAGGACATTTATAACAAGGAAAAGTACTATGGGCTCTGAGTGAAATGGAGGCACTTGGAAGCAAAAAACTTTATGTGCAGTACAAAGATTGGTTTTACTTTCAAAATGGTATAAAAGAATAGAGAACAAATATAAATTAAATACTTAAAATGCATTAAACTCATTTAAGTCTCATTTGACACCCAAAAGCAAATGGATCCTACATCATAAGGCTGACTCTCTATTTCTTTCTCATCCCTATGTTCAGCATCATAATTAAATGTTCAGGCACTGCAGTGTCTGAGTATACCATGGGCTATAACAAGTTCCATGCAGCCTCATGCATCCTTTGAGATAGAAGCAGAATTCTATGGGAAAACCATCTACAATTCAGAATTTATTGAGTGTTGCTGCTTTGAGTCGTATTGAAAAATATGTCACTTATAGAAGCATTGTGATTCACCTGAAATAGTCACAAGATGCAGCTAGAAGTATACGATGAGCTTCAATAGGTTTCTCCTCCACTACCAGGACTACATCGAAGAGGATGCCACGATCTCGGAGAGTTACCAGGCCACTGAGCAAGGCCTGAGAGTGCTCTGCACTGCGATAGATGTTGCTGGTACGCTGCTGAAGTGAGGGCTTGAGGTGAATCTTTCCTGGCTGAGTAAGCTCCTGATCCTCCGCCATCCCAAGCAGAAATGTTCAGTGCCTGGCAGCCACCAGTTACAGTAGGATGAATTCTGTAAGATAAGAAAAACACTACAGTTTTCTGTTTTCTGCTTTATGAACAATACTTTGAAGCTTGTGTCACAGTCATCAAAACAAATCCATTCTTAAATACATGGAGAACCCCTAAAACAATGTTCTATTCCAGTAGCGCTATGTGGATTGACAAAAGTATAAACAAGAGTAAATTGTGGTGCACAGTACCAAGTTACATAGTGATTTAGATGCCTCTGGTGTCACATTAGCTACTCCATGGCCACATCTACACGAGACACTGACTGCACAGCAACCCAAGTTCTGCTCTAATGAACAGCTTTTTCATGATGCTACTGCACAGTAGCCTAATGCTAACAATTGTTGCCGCGTGGTGCTGCTGTGCAGTAGTATCGGGCTACTGTGTAGTCAGCATCTCATGTAGACACAGACCCTGAGTCATCATCTGTAATTTACTAAACTATCTCAAAACTTACTTCTCCTTGTCCTAACCTTTTCATATTGCTTTAGCTGAGCACATTCCCACAAGTCATTACGAAACTAAGGATTTGCCAGCATAAGGGTATTTACTTTGAAGCAAGAAGCTTCACTAGAATTCCTTCCACTGTTTCTTATTAACTGTCATTTAGCAGCTCTATCCAACCAAACAGTCAGAGTTTACTTCCTTACAAGTGATTGCTTCTACAGAGGTGAGAACTTTCTCTGAAGTATGTGCCACGCCTTATGGCTCCACATTCCATGCTCCTTTGCAATGCTGCACATTAGAGGATTGCTCCTCTGAGGCACAATGGGGTATTATCCGGCACAAGTTAGCCAGAGGTTAATGTGTTCTCTGTCTGGAAGTCAAACCAAAAAGCCCATGGTTCCCCTCTTGCCACTCTTCTTGGGTGGCCGACATCATTTTCAAACTCCTAAAAGACCACTAAGAACAAAGCAAAGCTCCATGCCATGATGCTGATAGATAGGAGTATGTAGCATCTAGTGCACATGTATTTGATGGGTTGCCACCGGATGGCTACAACTTTGAAAGCCAACTGTCTTACTGCTAAGTGGTCTTGGCTACATTTTTTGCAACATCAGCAGCTACAGCTTCCTCTATCCTGCCAAAAGCTGTATAAAAGAGGAACGATAGTACAGATGAAGACAATAAGCTATAGCTTCAGAAATGTCTTCTTTTAGAACAGTTTCACTCTGTGCACCACCATTTTTGGACTCACAAAACAGGCACTGACTCTTGGGAGTAGACTGGGAGTAGACTGTGCTTCATACCTGGAGTGACCCACTGTGGCTACAGAACTCCAGAAGGATAAACAGCATTTTCCCTGAATCTGCATGGAGATTAGACTAGAGGCACAGATTGCAAATATGGAATTTCTGCTAGCCCTTCAAAAGCATGTAGGCCTTGCTATGTGGAAGTTCACTACCCCTAACTGCTACCGTGTAGTCACTAACCAGTTTGGCCTGGACATACTGACAGTCTTGGCTGTTTCAACTGATGTCAGTTGAACTGAAGGTTCTGGTGTTGGCAAAAGTAGTGTGATCTCCACTTAATTATGTCCTACTGCTATGTGCTGTAAATCTTGCCAACCCAAGGAGGCTATTGATGATCTTGTGGGCAAAGGGTTCCCTGGTTGCATTGGGGCAACCAGTAGAACCCTTATTCCTATCCTCTGTACCCGCCCGGTCTGCCCTTGGAATTCTAAAATGTGAAGCGTGCTTCCCAGCAATAAGGTTTGCACATTCATCATCTCCATTAGCTGCCTCCACATCTCCCTGACCAATCTGTAATGTCCCAAGTCACGCCAACATTCTTCTTCTCCACAGCAAGTCAGTCCCTTTTTCACCAGTTCCTTCATCACAAAGAAGGTCTCTCTTTTTGTTTCTCATCTCTGGGATTTCTGAGCCATTCTCTCTCAGTTGATATCTCTATGAAAACTTCTGAGACAAACCAAAGGGTAGGGAATTTCATAGGGATTATCAGTTGCAGGTAGCTTGTAGACTGTGTGCTGCCCAGTGCATGTCGAATGCAGTTCTGCCATGTTTTGACAGTAGGGAGATAGAGGCCTTGGGCTAGAGTACTAATAACAGCAATTTTGGGGTAGTACATGGGGGGTATGGAGCAAGGGAGCAATGGTTTCAGGTTCCAACAAGGGAAGTTGAGGTTAGATATTAGGAAAAATTCTCTCACTAGGAGTAAAACACTGGAACAGATTACCCAGAGAAGTTGTGGAATCTTCATCCTTGGAGGTTTTGAAGACCCGGCTAGACAAAGCCTTAGCTGGGATGATCTATCTGGGGATGGTCCTTCTTTGAGCAGGGGTTTGGACTAGATGACCTCCTAAGGTCCCTCCCAACCCTACTTTTCTATGATTTTATGATATAGAGTGGTTAGGAGGGACCTTATGAGGTCAGGCTAAGGATTATGTTTGCCTTTCTGCAAGCAGTTGGAACATTGGAGAACATGTCCCTGATACGTATCAATAGCTAAGCCCCCACAAATTCTTGGCATTGCAAGAATGATGCCTCTTGATATTCTACATGCTTGGCGGAGAATAGGCACTGTACCCGGCTGAGCCAAAACAATAGGTGTCTTGTGCTCCTGGATTGAGTTGTTATGTTTGGCGCCCTTCTTGTGCTGACATCCAGGTACCTTGGACTACCCACTCATGGTAAGTCTCTCTTAACTCTCCTGCTACTTTTGGCCTTAAAAAAAAAGAAAAGGGAGGTTCCTTTGGTGGTATAAACTATCGTGAGCGCGCTCCCACCACTGGTGCTTCTTGGGGCTCCGCCTCCCTTATACCCCGTTCACTTGCCAGTCAAGTCCTGATGGCTCCAGATGTCACAGCTTTTAGCAATATGCAGATATATCTTTCTTTGTCCTTAGTTTTCTCTTATCCCTTCTATAAGAATAGGAACATACCTATAAATTGGTCTGGTGTTCCTTTGAACCTGACAACTCAGTCCAGCATGGATCTATACTAATCCTGAATTGCCCGATTCACTTAGTTAATTCGCAGGCATGTAAATATAGATAAATCAGTTCATAGATAATAAAATAAATAATGATCCCATAAAGGAAATAAAGGATTCATTCGTCTTGCTTCTCTTCACTCATATCAATTTCATTATCAATTCATTAAGAAGGTTCACCCCACATCATGTACACATGTAGCTCTGGGCTGTCTCACCTTCTTGTCTTCAATCAATTATGTCTCTGCAGTTTCCTATTGGAAGTTCCGCTTGCACTCAGTCAGGACCCCTTCTCTGAATTTCACATCTCACACTTTACCCTTTTGTAGAGTATTCCTCCACTGAGCTTTGGCATGAGGCTTCCCCAATATCTTCTTCCAGGTTCCTGTCTTCTGGTGTCAGGGTATGGGATTCCACACAGACCTCTGCTCCACTGCCCTGCACCGTTTGATGGCTGGAGATCCCTCTGGGTCTCCAGTCTGGGAAACTGGCACAGCTGGTTACCCCAGTTCCGGCTGGAGCAGTTGATGCAGGCATACTGCCTTCTTTCCCCATGCTAACCTGGCCTTTTTAACTCCAGTAATGGGAGTGGGTTTGTGATGTCACAGACTGCCCAATTCTTAAATCGCAGTGTGCATGCATTCACAAACTGTGGTGCTGGTGCCATGCACCTCGCTGCTCGCGCCGGCTCCACAACTGTTGGTAAGAGCTGGCCCTTTCATGCCCTTGCTCAGCAAAACGTGCAGTTGTTCAGTGTCCTAGGTGAGCCTCCCAGTTTCATCCCACTACAGGGTCGACACGCAGAACTTGTCGCTCAGCGACAGCCACATATTCAGGAACCAAGATAAAGGCAGCCCTGTCTTGTAGTGTTAAAAAAACCTGACCAGACCTATCTTCTGCATCTAAAATCCCATTTTACAATGCTGAGGAAATGCTTAAAGTCCACTATGCCAGTGAGACGATTTGCAATGAGTTTTAAGCATCCAGAACATTAACAGTGTTGGTGCCTTGTTAACAGCACAGTAATATGTTTTCTACCTGGGGTTTGATTTTTGCTGCAATCTAATTTTTAGTACACTTTGTATCATAAACGACTCGTGCCCCCGGCAGCTGGGTGGGCACGGCGGCAGCAGTAGCATGGCGGTGGTGGCAGGAGTGCAGCAGCGGTAAGCGGGGGAGCTCCCGCAGACACCACCAACACTGTTGGTGGGGAGGGGGTGGGAGGGAGGAGCTGGAGGAGGGTGGCGAGCCCGCAGCCACCGCCTGCAGTGTCAGCAGCAGCCAACAGGGATCATGGACTGCCCGCAGACACCGCCGGGTGTGTCGGCAGCAGGGTGGTGAGCGGTGACTGCCCACAGGCGCTGCTGACAGTGTCAGCAGTGCCTTTTTATAGTGGGTGCACGGCCACACTCAGGAGGTACACGTACACCTCCTACGCACCACCCCTGCTTTGTATGGTGAAAAAAAGCTTTCCTAAAATTTTGTTCTGAAAACAATTTTATACTGTTGAACTGGATTGTTGAGTTGATCACAATACACTACCCGACTAGAGAACTACAGAATGCTCAGTTCTTGATAATCACATTTCTAAGATAGAGGTGTTCCTTGCTATCTGGCATGGGACAGTGGGTGGAATGAAGGTTCTGGTGTTGGCAAAAGAGGAACCACTGCAGCAGTAGGGATGGAGTATGATTTAATTAAATGGGTAGAAGGAAATGGGAGAGATACAGCTGGCAGGCTGGCTGTTGCAAGGTAGGCCAGCTAGCTATTGCAACTCACTGAATATGGTTATTTTAAGCAGGTGGTCAGGAACTGGTGACTCAATC